CCTGTGTTATGAAACTAATATGATCCTATTGCAGCAACTTAGAAACTTTTGTCACGTAAAATAATGGCTTTTAATAATTTGAACTATTGTCTTTCACTCTGTTTTCTGAATGTGTATATTAGTTATAAATATTTTTAAAATGTGGGAGGTATAAAGGCAGGAGGTATATGTGGGAAATCTCTGTACCTTCTGTTCAATTTTTATAAGAACCTAAAACTGCTCTGAGAAAAGTCTACAAGTAAGTGTACTTATAAATAAGTTCTATAAAAACTGTAGGTTATGCCATATTATAGTTTTGTTTCCTGAGAAGCTAATATAATATCATTTTGTATAATATTTGTGTTTTGCGATTGTAGTAGGTTTATAGTATGTCATATTCTTTATACATGCCATTAAAATTTTGTAGTTGTTTTAAATATGTGTGGTTAGAAGTCAGGATTGTGGTTAACCTTCAGGGAGTTGCATTAAGACTAGAAGAGAGTCCTGGTAGGTATGGCTGAGGTGGTTGAGCATTGTCTTGTACACCAGGGAGTCACAAGCTCAATTTCTGTTTGGGCACATACCTGGGTTGCGGGTTCACTTCGTGCTTGGTGTGCATGTCGGAGGCAACCTATCAATATTTCTCACATGGATCATCCAATGTTTCTTGCTCTCCCTCTCCTTTCCTCTTTCTCTAGAATTATTGAAAAACATATCATTGGGTAAGGATTTAAAAAAAAATAAAAGACTAGAAGGGAGTGCAGAGTGGTCTTGAGTTGCTTATTCATTTTTTTGTGAAAATGTAGCTGTATACTCAGGCTCTTTCTGTATGTATATTATACTTTTAGTAAACTTTAAAGTTTAATAGTTACTGATATAGAACTTTCGGGTTAATTAATAGAGGTAACTGGAAAATGAAATGATGAAATTTCAGATGACTTACTCATTTGTGATTTTAAATATGTAAGTAGTTTGTTTTTAAAAATGTGTATTTAAAAAATAATAACTTATATATGTGTCTAAGCTCCAGCTCTTTGTAATAACATTATGTGGATGTATAACAGGATTTTAAGGACTTTAAATATCAAAAAGTAAGAGTAGCAAACTAATGTGAAAACAGCGTATTCTATAATTTAAGTTATATGTGAACAGATGTTCACCTCTGTAACCTAACTCTTTTCTTATACTCAGCAGTGCATATTTGTTAAGTCAGTGAATCCCTGTCCCCTCATCTGTTTTCAGTATTATCACTTTAAGAAAAGCACATTGTTGCTGAAACCGGTTTGGCTCAGTGGATAGAGCGTCGGCCTGCGGACTGAAAGGTCCCGGGTTCGATTCCGGTCAAGGGCATGTACCTGGGTTGCGGGCACATCCCCAGTGGGAAACGTGCAGGAGGCACCTAATCGATGTTTCTCTCTCATCGATATTTCTAACTATCTCTCTCCCTTCCTCTCTGTAAAAAATCAATAAAATATATTTTAAAAAAAGAAAAGCACGTTGTTAGTTTTATAAAATGAAAATATCTTAATTTGAATTTTTTGTTATTATTAATGACTGTATCTTTTAAGAAGCCTATTAAATACTTGGATTTAATTTTTTTAGAATTACCTATTTAAGTCTACACTTGAGTTACTGATTTTGGTAGCCACTAGTATGTGGCTATTGAACACTTAACATGGTGCTAGTTTGAATTAAAATGTGCTATAAGTATAAAATATACACTGAATTTTGAAATCTTATTATGAAAAAAGAATGCAAACTAACACAATATTAATTTTTTATTATTGGTCTTATTTTGGAATGTTTTAGATATGTTGGTTAAATAAAATATATGATTAAAATTAATTTCACCCTTGTAAATTTACATGTGTTGTAAACATTATATTTCTACTGGACAATATTGATTCAGTAATTTGATCATTAGGTGATTTGGGCCTGAATGAGTGTAGAAAGGAAAGTAAGGAGGGATTTAAGTAAAGTATGCAGTATGCATATCTATATCTATATATATAATCTATATATATAAAAGGCTAATATGCTAAGTGTCAACCGTCTGGCCGGTCGTTATGACGCGCACTGACCACCAGGGGGCAGATGCTCAATGCAGGAGCTGCCATGATGCACACAGAGAAATGGCACCGCGGACCTGGCGCTCACAAAGCAACACTTGGCTTCCCCCAAGTGGGACACAGGCCCACCACCACCCCGGAGTGACACCCCACCACATTGCAGCTGCGCTGCAGAGACCCCATGGTGCAAAATGTGGCCCATAGCCCAGAACGGTGGCTGTGGGTGCTGGGTAATGATGTCATGTAGCAACGCCTGGCTACTTCTCTGTAGGGACGACTAGCCTCCTTGCAGTTTCTTCAGCCCAGGAACATGACTTGCTTTATAGCCAGGTGCAAACATTTCATACTTTAACCAAATGCCTGTGAAGTGTTTTCTTGTGCCTCATCTCATTTGATCCTTGCAGAAGTCCTGGAGTAGGTAGATAGGAGACTTGGTGGAATCCTATTTTCCTTTCATTAGCAGGAAAACAGAGATTTAGAAAGCTTAAAACTTGACCTGAGTGAAAAGAAGTGGTGGACCTTGAAAATGACTTCAGGTTTTCTCACTGCGCAGAATATAGTCAAACACTGCTGCAGTTAAATATTTTACCTTTTGTTCTCCCTGTGTGATCTACAATAATAATGTGCTTCATGTTGATATAATTACTGCTATGATGCTGACAATTACCTGAAAGAGAAATTGGGGTGCTTCACTGGGCTGGAAAAAGTTTAGCTACATCAGAAAGCAGGTCTAATTAAGCAAGTTTATTCTATATCTATAAAAGGGTAAGTTGACTCACGCATGCGCAATACATATAAAGCTCTTGCTGGCGCCAGTTGCACACATATGTTTCAATCTGTCATTGTTAATCGTGAATTTGGTTGACATTTCTATTACAGAGAAAGTACAAATAGCGATATTAAAATATTTCTTCTAATTAATTTCCTTTCGATGTGCTCAAATTCATGCACCGGGCTTCTAGTAACTATGTAATTTCTGCTACATTGAAGGATATCTTGTGGTTTTTTTGTGCTTACATTGTGGCTTTGTAATCAATCGTATGCTTTTTGAGGACAAGGACTATGTCACTATTTTTACATTCTTCTCTACTCTTTTGCTGGGTACATAGGTGCTTGAATAAATACGAATTAATAGGACATCAAGTCTCTCTATATAAAAGCCTAAGTGACTGTTATGACCAGACGACCGGACAACCTGCTGGTAGCTATCACGTGCACTGACCACTAGGGGCAGGCGCTCAATGCAAGAACTGTCTCCTGGTGGTCAGTGCCCTACCACAGTCAACCTCCCGCAGTCAGCCAAACTCCCGTGGTCCGTCCCCCTGGCTGGCTGGCCCTAGTCGGCCCTGATGGGCCCCAGTCAGGACTGGGTGAGAAGGCCTGATTGGCCCCAATTTCCGGCCAGGCCGGGGGACCCCACCTGCGCACAAATTCATGCACTGGGCCTCTAGCAATTTTATAGACTCAAAGTATGAATTACTAGATTATAGACAATAATTCCTAGAGTTTTTATACCTGTTACTAGGGGCCCAGTGCACGAATTTGTGCACCTTGAAAGAACTGTGGGCATGAGGCTGCGCTGGGCACAGAGGCGGGTCTCACTCAGCCCATCCTCCGCGCCCACGCCTGGCACCTCCCCCTGCGGCCCCCAGCCCCCTATCTGCCGGCAGCCCTGCTCCTGCTGCTGCTGACAGCACTGGCACCGCTTGCATCTGCTGATGGCGCAGAGCAATTGGGGCTGCCGCCAGCAGTGGGTGCAAGCGGGGCCGGTGCCGTCAGCAGGTGTGAGTGTCAGCAGGAGCTGGGGGAGGTGGAGAAGCCCTTAAGGGTGATCGGGGCCAGCAGCCGCCACTCACACCCACTGACGGTGCTGAGCGATTGGGGTGGGGAGTGGCATCAGGTGCCGGCAGCAGGTGCAAGTGGGCCGGCGCTGGCAGTGGGTGTGAGCAGCAGTTCCAGCACCAGCAATGGGTGCAAGCGGGACCATCAACAGCAGCGGGCGCGAGAGACGGCTACCAGCCCCAATCACCTCAGGAGCAGGGTGAGGTGGAGAAGCCCTGGGGGGCAGTTGGGGCCGGCTGCCATCACTCACCCACTGACAGTGCTGAGCAATCAGGCGGAGGGCCGGTGCCAGGTGCCGGCAGCAGGTGCAAGCAGGTGCAAGCAGGTGCAGCAGGTGTGAGCTCCGGGCAGGAACCATGGCACGCAGGAGCAAAGAATTTTCAGTAAGCACCAGAGGGTCGCCCCAATGACAGCGACCGACCGGCATCCCACCTTGGTCTGATGCCCCCACTCACCTGCTCCACCATCCTGCCATGGCCGACGTCCACCATGTTGCATCAACGCCCCCGGTGGTCAGCGCACATCATAGTGACCAGTTGTTTGATTGTTTGGTTGTTTTACTGTTTGATCTATTTGCATATTAGGGTTTTATATATATAGATAGATTTTACTATAATATCACCAGCCAGCCAGATCAGTCATACCCTTTTTAAAAGGTGCAAGGTTAAGGGAACTAACATCTGGTAGTATATAATAGGTTCTAGGTAGCCATTTTATATCTTTTTTCAGTTAGTCGTTATAGTAACCTATGAGAAAGGTGTCAGCTACCATTTTACAGATTAGGAAACTGAGATTGAGTAATTTTTCCATTGTTATGTTACCAACCTAGGTATGCCCAACTTCAAAGCTTGTACTTTTTCTATTGTAGCTTACTGTATTGATTAAAGTTAGTCAGTTATTTTAAGTGATTTAAAGTTAGTCTAATATTGTGGTTGACATGAAGTAAGTGAAAAATAATCTTAAGAATAAAATGTATACTAAATTTTGTTAGTTTCTTATGTGTCTTATGTAGTCCATGTTAAGTATAGGAAAGGGAATTTTAGAAATTGCACCATAGTTCATTGGAAAAATTCTAAAGTAGTTGAAAACATTTCCTTTTTTGTGTTTCAGATAAAATCAAAGAAAAAATTAAAGAGAGAGATAAGGAAAAAGAGAGAGAAAAAAAGAAGCATAAAATAATGAATGAGATCAAGAAAGAAAATGGAGAAGTAAAGATGTTGCTGAAAAGTAAGTTTATATTCAGTGATTTTAGGTGTACTGTATTGTATTGTTCAGTATACTTACTGGCTTAGTGAATAAAATAAATGTTATTTGTTGCTGAATTTTTCTAAGAATAAACTGGTCAGGCCCTGGCCGGTTTGGCTCACTGGATAGAGTGTCGGCCTGGGGACTGAAGAGTCCCGGGTTTGATTCCGGTCAAGGGTCAGGGGCATGTACGTTGGTTGCAGGCACATCCCCAGTAGGGGGTGTGCAGGAGGCAGCTGATCGATGCTTCTCTCTCATCGATGTTTCTGACTCTCTATCCCTCTCCCTTCCTCTCTGTAAAAAATCAGTAAAATATACTTTAAAAAAAAAAAGAATAAACTGGTTAGAAAATGAAACTTTAATAGTAGGGAGTTTGAATCTGTATAGTAAATATGTATTTAGTATATTTATTTAGTGAATCATTAAAAAGTATTAAAGGGTTAAGGTTCATTAAACTGTTAAGTTCCTTAAATTATTTAAAAATAGGTTATCTAATTTTGTGTTTGCATTACTAGTCTCATTCATATTTAGATTATCTAAAATAAAAGGCTAAAGCTATTTTTAGCTTGATAGGGATGATGAAATAAGTGATCTTACAAATATTTGATGTAATCAGATCATAGTCAGGGATTTGGAGGGAACAATTTATTCTGAGCTAATTTAGAATAAATCTGAACTATTTCAAGAGAATTTGTGGTAGCATACAAGTAAGGACAGTGTTAAATCCACTCAGCAAGGTAAGAAGAAGAATCATTGGCATTTGGTTGCTAGACAGCTAACAAATTCTTTAGCTTCCCTATCAAGTTGACAACATGCAGAGCAAAACATTTTCACTTTGATTAATTTTTTATGTTGAATTTATGGGTTGATAAGCCTTTATATCTACATAAAGGAGAAAAGACCATTGCTCTGCATGTGCAATGAAATAACTGGTTAATTTATATTATTTCAGATAAACAGCATTAGATTCTGTATTTTCATTTCATTCTTTGTCATGTTTCCAGATGTTCTTTGATGGCACTTTATTTGATCTCTGTTTTCTACTTGTAAGAACTTTATTTTCTGTAAAATTATGTTGACCTTGAAGAAACATGTCAGAGGTTAACTTGATGGCTACTTAGTTAATGCTCATTGTCCTTTTGTCCTATCTCTTTTGCCATGTATTTTATCTATGTTGTCTAATTAGATTGTAAGCCTTTGAGGCAGGAGTCAAATCTACCACACCAGTGCTGTCTGTACAGCGGCTAATGATTAATGCTGGAAATGTTAACTTTACCCTATTGATTTATTCAAATAGCAGTTATTTTTTCTTATCGATTTAAATGTACAGTGATGTAAATTCCTGCCATACAGTAAAATGTTAGATTCCTGACATACAATTAATGTTAAATATGTGAATTTAGAGATTACATATGCAAACAAAATTTAAAATAACCTTAAAAATGAAAGTGTTTCCCCCTCCCCCCCCCCCCCCATAATATGAGATAGTAACCTTGAGTTTAAAGTAGATGAAGAATTTAGGAGATATTTTTAACTGAGTTAAACTGAAACCTAGCGATGATAAGGGAAAAAAATGATGTATATTTGGAAATGAATTGGTGACCTTTGGGGTGACAAAGGGAAAATGCATTTACTGTAAAGTAGAAGTAAGTAATACTGTAATTACTGCCTTACATGGTTGTAAGTGCCAACGACAGTGTCTGGCCCACAGGTATTTAATATTAATAAATGGATGAGAATTTTGTAAACATGTATGAAAGATTAACTCTTGTGAATAAGAACTTGATTCATTTTGGGAAACAGTACCTGTCCCATGGTAAGCACCAAGTGTTAGTTATTGTTATTATATAGCAAAAACAATTTGCCCTGTATGTGTGGCCATTTCCCAAGAGAGCCTTCATCAGGGAAAGGTATCCTTTGTTACTGGTGTTCTGGAGCAGCATCGATTTGGTGGGGACAGTATACTCTTATGTATAACTGTGTGCCCTTTTTTTTTTTTTTTTGGCAGGGGGGGCGCTTTAACTTTTATCTTCTCTTTATAATTTTCTCCTAATAATGTTAATGTTGTAAGCTGTGGCACACACAGGCATTGATTGTTTGTTGATGGCACTGGAACATCTAAAATAGAGGCTAACTCTTACAATAATCTCATTTACTCCAGATTTTCATTAAAAGCCACAATAAGTTGAATATGACTAGAGATGTATACACAGTTTTATATATATATATATATATATATGCTAAAAAATTTTATTAATCCAGAAATCTTGTAAATGTTGAAAACATTATTAAATAGTTCAAAGGAACAAATAGATTCGAATCATAAACTTTAATTTTGCTCAGTCTTTTATATTAATGTCTACCAACTACTTTTTCTGAGCATACTTATGTGTTCCAGCCTTTTCTTTTGTTATTGATATTCTTTTGTTATTTTATATTGGTAAGAACATAGATGTTGTAATTATAATATATTTTATTATAGCATATCAAAGAAGCTTGCTGAAGAGTAGGTGGAATAGGGGTTAAAGAAGCCAATGTCCAAGGTTATTGGTAGTGTACTAAAGGTCACAGGTAGGTAAATTATGTCAGGAAGAGTGAAAATATTAATAGGTGAAAAAAGCAGTCATTTTCCAAGGACCAAAGGTTGAAAATAGTTAAGCTAATTACTACTACTTTCTTATGTATGATAATAGTTATTTATAGATTGATTCCTATATTAGATATGAAATCAGATTTAATCTTTTTTTTAATTAACACGAAAATATACTAAGGTTAATGGCAGTAATTAATGCCAGTTAATTTGTGTTCTTAAAGGTTGTTTTTTTTTAAATATATATATATATTTATAATTTATAAATATATATTATCGTAATGCATACAGTTTGTATCTCTGTGTATGGGTTTTTTTCTGTCTCTCTGCCTCTTTCTGGCTGTGTATGTGTCTGCATTTTTCTCTGTGTCTGGTTCTCTCTCTAGCTCTCTGTGCTGCTCTTTGTATGTGTCTCTGGGATCCACTGTATGCATGTGTTTATGGACCTGTGGGAGGAGGGTCCCCCATCAACCTTTCACTGTTACACTTTGTTGTTGTTGTTTTTTCATTGATTTTTAGAGAGAGTGGGAGGAAGGGGGGGAGGAAACAGAGAGAAACATCAATGTGAGAGAGACACATTGATTGGTTGCCTTCCACACATGCCCCAACCAGGGCCAGGGATTAGCCTGGAACCCTTTAGTCCATGGGTTGATGCTCTAACCACTGAGCAAAACCTGTTAGGGCTACTGTTATACATTTTGAGGGTCCCAATTACATAGACAGTAATTCTATCTATATAAAAGCCGAAGCGACCATCAACCGAACAGACGACCAAACATGCTGCGTGGGGCAACCAGGCCGGCACAGGGGTTAGTGAGGGGCAACCAAACGACCGAGCAGCAGGCTGCATGGGGTGACCCGGCTGGCAGGGGGGCAGTGAGGGGCAATCAGGCTGGCAGAGGCAGTTAGGGGTGATCAGGCTGGCGGGGGGGGAGGGCAGTTAGGGGCAAGCAGGCAGGTGAGCCGTTAGGAGCCAGTGGTCCAGGATTGTGAGAGGGATGTCTGACTGCCGGTTTAGGCCTGATCCCCGGGACATCCCCTGAGGGATCCTGGATTGAAGAGGGTGCTGGCTGGGCTGAGGGGACACCCCCCCCGCCCCACGAATTTCGTGCACCAGGCCTCTAGTTTTAAAATAAGAGAAGAACATTGATATTCAAAATGGTCTTGTTTTAAAGTGTTTAAAAATTTCCTTCGTGTACATCAGTGGTTCCCAAACTTATTTGGCCTACCGCCCCCTTTCCAGAAAAAAATATTACTCAGCCCCTGGAAATTAATTTTTTTAAAATTTTAATAGCAGTTACTAATCGCCCCCAAATGCACCTGTGGCCATCCACCCCCCTGGATCGCTGCAGCGCCCACCGGGGGGCGGTAGCGCCCACTTTGGGAATCACTGGTGTACATCTATTGCATTTTGTATGTCGTTCCAGGACAGGAAATAAATGAGAGACTATATAAAACTTTAAAAATTTAGGACACACGGGACTAGCATATAGTTGACTCATGGCTATGATTTAGTTTAGTGGAGGATGCAAAGTAAAATCAGTGAAGAGAAAAGGCACATGAGGTGATGTCTGGAGGAAACCAGGTGCAAGTTTCCAAGAGTCCTCTGCTAGTGGAGTCACCCAGGATGCACTTTATTATTCTAGCAGTGAATTGTGACAACACATGTTAAATTCATTAGAGACTAAATGTCCAGGGTTTTAGTTGGGGGCTGGTCACATAGTTACCCTCTCTATAGCTTGTATATCAGAATTCCAGACTCCCAGAGGAAAAGAGGTATTCAAAATAAACTGCATTGTTGCACAAACAGTTTAGGCACAGGGAGCCACTCTTATCAGGGAATGATGGGAAGACCCTTCCCAAAATACAAGTTCTCAGATGCCAGCTAATGGCCAACCTTGCAAGCATGCCATATTAACTCTTTTCTGCACACTGTGTCACTTTAGTATCTACTTACAGAGTAGTTTGTCATGGGAATTTAATTCCTGGATGTTCAATATAAGAATCTCTTGACTGATTTCTTATTGGTTTGCATTTTAAAAAAATGTTTTTTTGATTTTTTACAGAGAGGAAGGGAGAAGGATAGAGAGTTAGAAACATAGATGAGAGAAACATCAATCAACTGCCTCCTGCACACCTCCTACTGGGGTTGTGCCTGCAATCATGGTACATGCCCTTGACCAGAATCGAACCTGGGACCTTTCAGTCTGCAGGCCAATGCTCTATCCACTGAGCCAAACCAGTTAGGGCGGTTTGCATTTTTTAGTTTCTGACTTTGATAATATTTTTTCCTCCATTCTCATGACTAGGAAATAGACTCTTGTGTCTATTTTATTTCAGAGTAACATGTATACTAATGATTGGATATTTTCTATTTTAACTTTAATAAAATGTGTTAGGCATATATGTAATTATATGAGACATTTAAATTTCATTTAAATGAAATTCTGCTTATTTTGACAAGCCATTTAATTTGTTCAATTTTACATGTTTTTTCAGTTTAGTTATTAATTATACCTAAGGCCTTTAAACATTTTTTAAGTTCTGTTTTTTAATTGACCACTCTTTTTTCCTTGACTCACTTAGATTTGGCTTACATATATGAACCTCTTTTATCTTTCATTTTGATTAACTCCCTGTTTTCCTTTTTCATTATTAATTTTTTTCTGAAGATATTAATCTGAATCTGATGTTTAGTTTATACCAAGAAAGCAAGTATGAATTTGTTAATATATTTCTTAAGTAGTAGCATATAGATTTATTAGAGAATTAAGACTTTGCATTTTATGACTTTACAAAACTATGTAATCAATAATGTTGACACCTTTTTATTTTTGCTTTTCATGATGATACCAATTTGGTCTTCATTGAATACTTACGAAATTTTAGAAGTGATAGTTTATTATTAACATTAAACTTTCCCTTTTTAGAATTGCTATTAACTTGAGAGAGTTTTTGTTTTCAGGGTTAGGATTAAGTGGTATTCATATGGTGGAAAACTTTGAAAAGGAGGCAAGGGAAAACCTATAAACCTTAGGTAGTCTGTTGGTAAGAAATCTTTTCATTCATAGATTCATTAAATGTTTATTTGTAGCAGTGTTCTAGATGCCATGAGGGACACATAATGGGGACAAAAGTATCATTTCACTCTGAATTTGTATAAAAGTTATTTGTTTCACTCATAGAATGTCCTTAAGGACATATTATATACAGGTATCCTATAAATAGAAAAAATAATAATTGTATATGACTGTATCACATATATTCATATATGTGGAATATAGAATAACTTAATATAAATTTGGAGTGAAGTAGTTTCAGTTCCAATTGGAGAGATGAAGGAAAGCAAAATGAAGGAAATGACAGAGTTTTTAAGGGTGAATAAAGAGTTCAGTAGTAAGTATTGGGCAGGACAAGCGTATTTTAGGGAAAGGAAATGCCTTTGTCATTAGTAGAAAGATAAGGTAGAATTAGGTATGTCTTATAAAAAATTGTAAGTAGTACAGATTGACCAGAGTAAGAGGTACTTGAGTGCATTGCCTTCTAGACTTGACAGGTTATGTTTTATTTGGTAGGCATTGAGAACCCTTGAAAACAGGTAAGCCAAGGGATGAATATGATTAGGATGAGAGACAGTCATGAGGCAATTAGAACAAAAATTAAGGCAAAGTATCAAGGAAGTAAAAAATAATCAAGGATGAACTTGGTAATTCTTTCAAACCGTGGAGAGATCAGAAAGAATACTTTGAGAGAATATCATTGATATTTGAATATTCTGGGAAAGAAAAAATTTGAATAGACTGGAAGCAAACCCATAATTTAAGGGATAAGAATGGTAGGTAAAAAAGAGAATGCGCTGGGCATAGACTGTTTTTCTTCTTTTTTTTTAAATTATTGATTTCCGAGAAGAAGGGAGAGGGAAAGAGAAATAGAAACATCAATGATGAGAGAGAATCATTGATTGGCTGCCTTCTGCGCACCCCCTACTGGGGATCGAGCCCACACCCCAGGTATGTGCCCTTGTCCAGAATTGACCCGGAAGGGAGAGGTATAGAGAGAGAGAAACATCATCCATCGGCTGCCTCTGTCATGCCCCCCCTACTGGCTCTTTATTTGGTACATGGGTATCATTTGTGTTAAGACATGAGAGATTATTCTTGTTTTGTCATCTCCTCTATTGTATCTTCTGGGGTCTTCACTGGGAACTTTGTAAACTCTAGTGGATCTTAAACAGCCCGTTTTAGATGCAAGAGTAGTTTTTTAAGGAGGAAATATGCTAAAAAGCTAAGAAATTATGTTGCTTTTATACTAAGCAAGTATTTTTCTCCTTTTATGATTCATAAATCTTGATACCTATATGCAGTTTTAAGAACTTAGATAAAGTAAATATGATGACCTATATATCTGTATAATTCATCATACACACTTTGAATAATTATAAAGGCAGTGTTTATTAAAATACATTTCATTTTCAAAAATGAGCTATCAGCTGTTAAAGTGTGTATATATTTTTTGGAACACCATGTATATATCATCATATATTTTTATATATATCATTGGGAAATGTCTGGAGGGCATTGTTCATATTGACCTTCATTCAACTTTTCATTTCTGATTTTCTACATTTAAAATTTGAAGATTATGCTTTCTAAAACATTCATTTATTTCATTACTTCAGTAAAAACACTGATTGAGTATCTGTTTCATGTCAGAAGGTGTAACTTTGTCTTAAGCTTTAGTGCATGCATGTGTGTATGTGTGTGTGTGCACGCACACCCGTGTGTAGAGAGAGAGAGAGAGAGAGAGAAGCAAAGAGACTGATAAATTATGAGTATGAATACTGTGTAAAATGAGTCCCAAAGATAATTTTGAGTAAACTTTGCTTATTATTTTTAAAACAGTTCCGAAAGCATGGTTTTTTAAGAAACTAAAATATGGAGTTTCAAAAAAAAATTTTTCCCAACAGGTGGGAAGGAGAAACCAAAAACAAATGTAGAAGACTTACAAATTAAAAAGGTAAAGAAGAAAAAGAAAAAGAAACACAAAGAGAATGAAAAACGGAAGCATCCAAAAATGTATAGCAAATCTATTCAAACCATCTGCTCAGGATTGCTATCTGATGAAGATCAAGAAGCCAAAGGTATCCTAAATGATAACATAAAGGATTATGGTGGAAAGAATTTGGATACCAAGAACTATGGTTCCAAACTTCCAGAGAACAGTGAGTTTCCATTTGTCTCATTAAAGGAGCCACGGGTTCAGAATAATCTCAGAAGGTTGGACACTTTGGAGTTCAAACAGCTCATTCATATTGAGCACCAGCCCAATGGAGGTGCATCAGTTATCCATGCCTACAGTAATGAACTCACTCACCTGTCTCCTGTGGAGATGGCGAGGTTTGCAGAAGAGTTTGTGGGTCTAGTATTCAGTGAAAATGAAAACTCTGCAGCTTTCTATGTAATGGGTATTGTTCATGGGGCAGCTGCTTATTTACCTGACTTTTTAGACTACTTTTCATTTAATTTTCCCAATTCGCCAGTGAAAATGGAGATTTTGGGAAAGAAGGATATAGAGACAACAACTATGTCCAATTTTCATGCTCAGGTAAGAGGTTTTTAGTTGTTTTTTTTTGAAAAAGAAACTTTTAATTATGTTTTAGACAAGTTTCTGTTCTTTGTTTCTCATTTCGCTATAGGTTTGAAATAAAAAGGTAAGACTATATATGAAATGAAACCTCTTGGGAATGTTAAGAATAAAATGTGTTCTCAAATGTGAACATCAGAATTTAAATTGGTTTCTACTTATTTTTTTTTCTTAAGGTAATTTATGAAATAATTAAGATTCTGTTGTTTTCTTTTGCAAGGATTTACCTTGGAAATGAAATGAATTCAGCCATGTATTTTCCATTCCTTACAACAAACAGTTTTCTTATCTGAAAATCATCTAAAATTATCTTCTTGGTTTATGTGACAATGCCTTAAAAGTACTTAGTATTGGATCCATCACATAGTAGATACTGAATAAATTTTGACTATTAAATATATTGTGGAACAAGAGGATCATTAGTTAATTGTGTGATTATGTGAGAATATTTGTATATATTGAGCTAATTTTCATTTCTTACCCTTCTCTAAGGTGATTATACAGGCTGTTCCCCCCAAAATGTATACAGACTTTAGCTGATAGCTGTTGAAATGAAATGAAATTTTCATAGACACTGAAAATGAAATGTATTTTAATAAACACTACCTTTATAATATTCGAAGTCTGTGTATACTTTTTTGGGGGATACCCTATTTTATTTTACTTATTTATTTTTAAAAATATATATATTTTATTGATTTTAGAGAGGAAGGGAGGGGGAGAGAGAGATAGAAACATCAATGATGAGAGAGAATCATTGATTGGCTGCCTTCTGCACGCCCCCTCGGGATCAAACCTGCAACCCAGGCATGTGCCCTTGGCCGGAATCAAACCTGGGACTCTTCAGTCCGCAGGCTGACGCTCTATCCATTGAGCCAAACCAGTGAGGGCCTATATATTATTTTAGAAAGAAGAGGCAGAATGAAGTTTGCTGGCTTTTGAAAGAGAATGTGGGCCCATTTAAAAGGCCAGTGCTGCCCTGGCCATGGTGGCTCAGTTGTTTGAGCATTGTAACATGCGCCGAGAGGTAGCCAGTTGGATCCCAGTCAGGGCACGTGCATGTGTTCCAGGCTCCATCTCCCAATTTTGCTCGCTCTCATCAGTGTTTCTCTCTCTCTGTTTCTCTCTCTCTTCCTCTCCCTTCCTCTCTCTCTCAAATCAATAAAATAATTTAAAAAAGAAGGCCGGTGCTGTATTCTCTCACTCGGATCAGGGACTGCTTAGGTCAAGGAAATCAGCCAATTTTCACATTTATTGGTGCTAAAATGTCTGATTTTCTAAGTAATAATTGACATCATTCTAGTTTGGAAGGAGGAAAAATAAAAAAAATTTCAAAAGGATCTCAGTGATCATCTATCCCAACCTTTCTCAACTTACATTAAGAAACAAACATAGATAGGCGTAACTTACTCTTTTAAGGTTGGCAGCAGTGCCAGGAATAGATCAAAATCTCCTTAGTCTTCATCCAGGACTCTTTTCCTTATTCTGAGTATAAATATATATTTGATATGTGTTCATGTTATAGTCTCCACCTGTGATAGCCTGGATAGTCTGTGATAGTCCAGATGTCCACTTCACACCTACCAAACCTCCTGCTTCCACAGTATATTTGGTGTATATTCTGGAAAATATGGTAATATTTAAAGTTTTAATGTATATGTATGGGAATTACTAATATAATATGTTTGAGAATGAGAGTTTATATATATTTTTAGAGCCCTATCATTTTATAGAATTCAGAATAATTAGTAACTTGTCTGAGATTATATTAAAGTTTATTGGTAAAACCAGACTGGCATCTAGTAATAGCGTCTACTATTTCTGGAGTATTAACTGTGTCAAGAACTGCTGTAGCACTTCATATATAATAACTTATTCAATCTTGATTACAATCTAATTTTAGCAGTAGGAGACAGATACACTGAGAGAAGAAATAACTTGTCCAAAGTCCTTCAGTACTCTCTCATTTATTATATGTCTGCTAGGGTTTTGCCAGCTTTTATACGAGGCCTTTTGACTTCCAGTCCCATTTGTTTCCACCATATTACAAACTTTCTCACTGTCATACTATGCAAGCTTATTTTAGTCATCTTTTAAATGTCATAATTATTATTTGTAAAAATATATTTTTTATTGATTTCAAAGAGGAAGGGAGAGAGATAGAAACATCAGTGGTGAGAGAGAATCATTGATTGGCACACGCCACACTGAGAATTGAGCCTGCAACCCGGGCATGTGCCCTGACCAGGAATTGAACCATGACCTCCTGGTTCTTAGGTAAACACCCAACCACTGAGGCACACCGGCCAGGCTAAATGTCATAATTCTTAGATTTGCTTCCCAAATTCTCTTTCAAGGTTATTGTATTTTCATTAAATGATAAGAATATTCATCTTAACTATGTAGTAAGTACAGTATGAAAACTGTGATTTTTCCTTTTTTTTTTGTTTTGGTAATTCTTACCTGAGGTTATTTTTTCCATTGATTTTTAGAGTGGAAGGGAATGAGGGCGGGAGAGGGAGGAGGGAGAAAAGGAGAGAAAGAGATAAAGATAGACAGACAGACAGACATTGATGTCAGAGAGACACATTGTTTGGTTGCCTCCTGCACGTGCCTGAGGCCGTGGATTGAACCTGCAACCCAGGTATGGGCTCTTGACTGGGAATTGGATCCGAGATCCATTGGTGAGTGGGCTGACGTTCTAACCATTGAAAACACAGGCCAGGGCAAAAACTGTGCTTTTGCTATTAAATGAAAGGACATAGTAAGACTCGTTAATCGTGCCAATACATGGTTAGGTTGTAGGTCTCGAGTCCTTTAAAGAGCTGCCTACCCTGGTGCCATCATCTATTCAGGGTGTGTGGCTAATACATATTACACAGAGGAAACTCCAGGCAGATACATCTTCATTACCAGCTGTGGCTCTGGCCCATATCTATGTGATCTGTCAGCTGCAAGGACTGCTTTTACCTCTTTAGCTTTAGACAGTGTTAGGAAGATACCTGTACAAGGTCCATGTGCCTTCATTATAAGACCCTCCAGATACAGTCATTTCTATGGTATAAGGGAGAATATCTAGTGAAAAGCTACCCTGAACTGCTTATTTGATATTTCCTCCATACTGGATTCTTAGTTTGCTTGTTTTTTTGTTTGTTTGTTTGTTTGTTGTTGTTGTTTTTAAACTTAGGAGACCATGGAAGTGTTTTCTGTAGACTGGGAGGTAGCTTTGGGTTTGTTCATATGCACTGGCTTTATGAAACTGAATGGGATCCAGAAGAGAGCAGTAGAACAAAATGAGCCATACTTATTGTGGTGTAGTTTTATTTATTTTATTTTTTGCTATCTTTTAAATTCTTTATTTATTTTTGGTGTAGTTTTATTTAAAATTTCTTTGACTCTTTCACTAAAAGCTCTATCTCTTAACCTATTTTTGTGTTATCCCTCCAGGAAATGAGTTTTGAAAACCATTTATACAATTTTCTATTTGGGAAATTGCTTTATGAATTACAGGACTAACGTACAGCCATATATTTAGAGCTAAACCAGTTTATAACTTGAGGACTTTCTTGTCCTGAATTTGAGAACCTGGCTTCCAACTGTAATTTATAGAATTATTTTATAGTCAGTGTAGTGAGTTGTGTCTGGATTAGTGTGGGTAGCTGAATGAACTCTGTTATGATGTGGATGGAAATGGAAGGAGTATAGTCCTGGTTACGCCATTTATCACCCATGACTTTGAATAGCTACTTAAAGTCCTTACGTCTCAGTTTCCTCACCTACAAAATAATGTTAATGATATTACTCAATTGAAAGAGTTGTGGTTAGAAATGTTCTATAGAATAAAGCAGGTTTTACAAAGAGTTGTTATATTGACTTAGTGCAATATTACAACAGCTTTCCATTTTGTTGAATAGGTGATGACTAGTTTCTGACCGAAGACTCTTTAAGAGTATGTTAATTGATGGTAGGGAGTTTAACAGGTACTCATGATAAAAAATTACCATAAATACTTCATATGCAGATACAAAGTTGATTAAATTGTGGTATGTACACACAATGAAATATCCATCCATAAAAAGGAATATAATACTGCTACTGCTACTGTGTGGATGAACCTTGAAACATTACGTGAAAGAAACCAGTCACAGAAAGTCACATGTTGTATGATTCCATTTATATGAAATATCCACAATAGGTAAATTAGAACCAGAAAGTAAATTGGTGATTGGGAAGGGGGAAAAGGGGAGTAACTGCTTAATGAGTGTGAGTTTTGTGGGAGTTTTTTAATTGAGATGGTTGATATAACATTATATTAATTTTAAGTTGCAACATAATGATTTGATATATGTATATGTTGTAAAATGATTACCACAAAGTTTAGTTAATACATATCACCACACATAGTTACAAACTTTTTTTCTTGTGATGAGAAATTTTAATCTCTGATCTCTTAGCAACTTTCATAGATACAATACAGTGTTGTTAGTAGTCACCATGTTGAACAAGACATCCCTGTGACTTATTTATCTAATAAGAAGTTTGTACCCTTGACTGCCTTTACCCTTGTCACTCCCCCTTCTGACAAACATCAGTTCTCTGTATCTGTGAGTTCAGTTTTTTTTTAAGATTCTACATATAAGTGAGGTCATGTAGTATTTCTCTTTCTCTGACTTTTTAAAGAAAATATATTTATTATTGTTTTCAGAGAGGAAGGGAGAGGGAGAGAGAGAGAGAGAAACATCAGTGATGATAGAAAATCATTGATTGGCTGCCTCCTGCACACCCCCTATTGGGGATCAAGCCCACAATCCAGGCATGTGCCCTTGACCGGAATCGAACCTGGGACCTTTCAGTCCAAAGGCCTATGCTCTATCCATTGAGCCAAACTGGCTAGGGTTCTCTGACTTTTTTGACTTACTGTAATGCCCTTGAGGTCCATCCATGTTCTTGCAAAAAGAACTTATTATTTATGGCTAAATAATATCCCCCCACCCCTTTGTGTGTGTGTGTGTGTGTGTGTGTGTGTGTGTGTGTGTGTGTGTGTGTGTTTTCTCCATTCATTCATCAGCTGATGCTTGGGTTGTTTCTGTTTCTATGTCTTGGCTATTGTAAATAATGCTTCAGTCAACATGGCAGTTGCATATATCTTTTCAAGGCAGTGACTTTGTTTTCTTTGGATAAATACCCAGAAGTGGAATTGCAGGATCATATGGTAGTTCTATTTTTCATTTAAAATAAAATAACATTTTAAAGATTTTAAAAACCGATTTTTAAAAATAACCTTTTTATTGAAGTATAATATGTACACAAAATGCACACAAATGTATAACTTGATGAATCTTTACAAAGTGAACACATTCATGATTTTTAAAAGTAGAGTATCATTAGTATCCAGAGCCCTCCCCAACCCCTCTTTATCACCATTCTGCCCCACCCCTGCTCCCTACCACCACATACATAAACACCCGGGTTATCACTATTCTAACTTTGAACACCAAAAATAAATTGTGCCTTTTCTGAACTTTTATATAATAGAATCAAATAGTATGTACATTGTCATGTGTGGCTTCTTACCTTCAGCATTGTATTTGTGAGATTCATTCATCTTGTGTGTAGCAACAGTTTGTTTTCCCATTGCTGTAAGGTATTCCATTGTATGAATATGCCATGTTTTATTTATCCTTGTTTATTATGGGTGGATATTTGAGTTCTTCCCAGTTTGGGGCTGTTATAATTGTAGCAGCTATGAATATTTTTGTACATGTGTTTTGGTGAACATATGTTGGATATAAATGTAATATTGGAATTTCAGGGTCAAAAGGTATGCAGATGTTCAGCTTTACCAGATAGTGCAGGTTTTCTAGTGTTACTGTAGTAATTAACATTCCTATCAGCAGTGTTCCACATTCTTGGTTACACTTAGTAGTATCTATCTTTTTCATTTTAGCTTTCTGGTGGCTGTGTAATAGTATCTCATTGTGGATTTAATTTACATTTCCCTGAGGACTGAGGCGGTCAAGCACCTTTTTATAAAATGACTAGGGTCCTGGTGCACGAATTCATGCACCTTAAAAGGAACTGTGGGCCGTGAGGCTGCTGTGGGCACAGGGGCAGATCTCAGCCTATCCTCCCCTCCCCTGCCCGGCCCCTCCTGGCCCCTCCCGCCACGGCCCCCAGTCCCTTGTTTGCTGGCAGCCCCACTCCTGCCGCTCCCACATGCTGACAGCGCCGGCCCCACTCACACCCACTGATGGTGTGGAGCGATTGGGGTCCGCCAGCACCAGCAGTGGGTGCAAGTGGGTCCAGCGCTGTCAGTGGTTAGGAGCGGCAGCTGCTGCCCCATCGCCCCTCAGGGGCAGGGGCAGGGGGAGGTGGAGAAGCCCTCAAGAGCGATCTGGGCCGGCAGCCATTGCTTGCACCCATTGACGACGTGGAGTGATTGGGACCGGTGCTGGGCCCTGGCAGCGGGTGCGAGTGGGGCCGTCCTCAGCAGCGAGTGCGAGTGGAGGCTGCCAGCCCCATTTGCCCCTCAGGAGCAGGGGGAGGTGGAGAATCCCTGAGAGGTGATTAGGGCCAGCAGCCAGCACTTGCACCAGCTGACGGGGCCGGTGCCGGCAGCAGGTGCGAGCCCTG